CTTTCCACTCACTGGTGCAGGTTGCTGAGAGAAAATGAAATTTTAAATTTTGAAGATACTCAGGACATGGTCGTGAACAACTGGCTTTGGTGGCCCTGCTCAAGCAGGGAGCTTGGATAAAAAGATTTCCACGTGGAACTGGATGCTTCACGTCACCGAGCTGTGGGGTGTGCTCAGGAGGTGGCAGTGCCTGGAGAAGGTTCCTAGCCTTGCTTCCCAGGGCACAAATAAAACACATCCTTGAGTCATATGGCAAAGCTTTTTTTAATTTATTTTTTTTCCTAACATGCCTATTTTGGGAAAATGGGCTAGAGAGTCCTAGATTAGCTCCAGTATTTTGGACACTAGTCCTACTTTTGTGCGTGTACCCAGATGAATTTAAGTTTTGATACAAACGTGGTGCCTGGACTTCTAAAAGCACTTGGTAAATAAAAGCCTGCCTGAACATCTCCCAGAAATAAAGGACTTGGGTCTGACAAAGGAGGGTTGCTGTCTGGAATGTCAGGCCAGACACATTCAAAGTAGAAATCAAGCACAAATTTGTAGTGGAGAGGGTGATTAATCACCAGAATGAACTGGAGTGGATGGATCCTTGGTTTCTTGCTGGTTTTGAGGAGAGATGTCCTGGGAGGGAAGTTAAACCAGGTAACAGCTTTACTTCACACTGGCCTCAGTTAGAGAAGCCAATTGAACCCCGAATCATTTAGGTTGGAAAAGACCTCCAGAACCGTCCAACTGGATTGAGTCCCAGCTTTGACAGATGCTTGTCACCCAGACTAGAGCATCGAGTGACACATCCAGCTGTGCCTTGGGCACGTCCAGGGATGGGAACTCCACCACCTCCCTGGGCCTATTCCAATGTTGAACAACCCTTTTCATGAAGAAATTCCTCCTGATGTCCTGAACCTCCCCAACACACATTCATGGACATGTACACACATGCACAGGGTCCACCCAGAAAACCTGACAATTCCTACAGACCTCAAAATAAAAGAGCAGATCTTAACCCTTTACTAAAAAAAAAAAAAAAAAAAAAAAAAATTTTTAGTAAAATACCTAATTTTTTTTAATTTTTGCTGTTCTGGGAGAGTATTTGTTTGTAATTATGCATGGGGATCTGCCTTTACTGTGAGTTCAGTAGTGATAGAACTTTGTTCTTAGGGCTGAATTTCTTCAGCAGCCTGGACCTTGGTGGTTGTGGGTTTCAGGAGTGGTGTGACAATTGTAGTGCTGGGGCCTCTGCTGTGTTCAGACACTGATATTGCCCTGGGTGGCTTTAAGCCAAGAATTCAGCCCCTCTGTTCATGTTTTACTTTTGTCAAAATGGTGATGTTTGTCTTCCCAAGGACAAAAGCTTTTAGTTTGTTATTTGTAAAGTCCATTTTAAGAGCTCACCAAGGAAGGTATTAGTGAAATACAAAGTGGTGGCTTTTTAAAAAATATTTTTATATTATGTGAGTCACTCAGAAATTAAAAGAGAAAATGAGTTTCTCTTCCAAATAAGTGATATCAACCACATCTTTACCAAGTAACTTTCTCCTTGCTTCTGCAGGGTGTTGTGGGGATCAGGGTGAACTCTACTTCAAAACATTTAATTGCACACAGTGAGAAATGAAGAAAACTGAAGGGGATCCCAAGAATATATTAAAAATCAGAACTAAAATGAGAATGATTTCATGTCAAGTGAGACAAATGCAGAGTTGATACTCCAGTGCTTCACACTTCCACTTGTCCTTGGCACCGAGAAAATGAGATTTTTAATATCTGAAAAACAGATTGCCATGAAGACTCATCCATTGTAAATTTAAGCTGCCTTTATAGCAACTTAAGCTGGGGACAAGATTGTTCATTACATCCGATTCTACAACTGCAGCCATGATTTCCATATTAATAGTGACTTTTTTTTTTTTTTTTGTCTCTACCAGAAATAGGACAGGGAGCTGGTTGTGTTTTCCCTGGGTTAGCAGATAATTTATTTAATGAATAATGCGAAAAGGGCAAAGGTTTGTGAGTTCTTACTCCCGTAGCACCACAAAGAGTGGTGACACCTGCTGTGGCTGCTGTGCTCAGACTGCTTTGGTTTGTGCTAAAAGGAGACTGAGGGAAAGGGATATTGAGTCATGATTCAGAATCAGGATTTGTTGCTGATGGAATTTATGTTGGTCAGGATTGAATTGTTTTGACTGAGATTTTAGGTGAAGGGTTTGCTTGTTCCTGATGTGCCCTTAAGTGACAAAAGCATTGAAGCAACTTCTCACATGTGTCTGGGGGTGGGGAAGGTATTTCTGTGCCACTGAACTTTAGACCAAAGTGGAGTCAAAGACTGTTTGTGCCCCTTTTCAATAGCGGCCACTCAGGGCTGGCAGCGGCTGGAGGAAGCACCAGCTTCCTCTCCTTTCTCTGGAGCTGGGTTTCCTTTCACCAGTCCTGCTCCCAAGGCAGACCTGAGCATTCCCTGTCCTTCGTTAGTCTGGGACAATTTCTGGTTCTGAGTGTAATTCTGGTTCTGAGTGTAATAAACCTGCCTGACACTTGAATGCAGCAAAACTGGAATTATCCCTATTTTCTCATGGATTTGCTGCTGCTTTTTTCTGCTGAAATCCCGTTGTCCTCTGTCTGCACTCACAGATCTGGAGTCTCTTGGAAAAGCTCATCTTCCTCTTCTAATCACGTCCCAAATTTGGTCTAGATCCTAATGGCTCTTCTCTTAAAACATCTGAGGTCCATACCAGTTTTTTCCTCTTTCATTGCTATCACTAATATCATCCTCCTGCCTTTGTCATCTCAAAACCTGAGTTACAGCAGCCTTTTCTTTGCTTCTCTTATCTCATCTCCTCGTGTTCTACTTTTAATCCTGCATTTCATGATGATGGAAGGTGATTTTTTTCTTTCCATTCTGGGTTTTCTTCTTCGCTAAATCCCCATTCCTCACCCTGGAAGCAGATCTTTCTCTGAGGAATCCAGTTCTTTATCATTAACCCCTGTGACCTTCAGAAAGTTTGTATATATTTAAGTCTAATTTGTTCCTCTTTGGAGGAACAAAACAGCTCTCTGTATTAAAATTTGGCAAGAAGTCAGCAGCATGATCTCATACTTTTTGTGACTGCCTTGGGGAATATGTTTAAAATGCAGTTAGGAGATTTGTCAGAGGAGGGGTTTGGTGGGGGAGTCTCTCTAAAAGGTTTGGGAGGGACCTGGGTGTTTGGCTCTTCCATCCATCAGTGGTTTGGTGTCACTGATTCTCTCCCAGCTCACAGAACGTGAGGCCTGTGAGGGTCTGCTGGGACCATTCATCTTGGTGACCTCTTTTCCTCGAGAGAAAGAGGCAGCTCAGCACCTCAGTGTGGGCCAGATGAGTTGTTCTGGAAGAGCAGCAGCCAACTCTCAGCACCTCCCCTCCCTGGAAACACCCAGAGCTTTCCCTGGCCACAGCTGGGTGGGAGAAAGCTCTTGTGGACAGTCTTAAGCCTTCCAGGAAAGCTGGTGGCCAAAAGCTGAGTGCTGCCACTTCTGGGAAAGTTCTTTCAGCTGAGCTTTTGGTTCTGAAAGTTCATGAGATTTTTCATGGAGGAAGAAAGGAAAAAGTACGATGTAGAGACACTATCACCATCCCTGGAGGAATTTAAGAGCTGTGTAGATGTAGCACCTGGGGACATGGGCCAGTGGTGGCCTTGGCAGTGCTGGGGTACCAGTTTGATTTGATGGTCTTGATGGAGGTGATTTTCCTCCTGTACTCTGTGTTGTGAGACCTCACGTGGAATTCTGTGTCCAGCTCTGAGGTCCTCAGCAGAGGGAGGACGTGGAGGTGTTGGAGTGAAACCAGAGGAGGCCATGGAGGTGCTCTGAGGGCTGGAGCCCCTCTGCTCTGGAGCCAGACTGAGAGAGATGGGAATATTCAGCCTGAAAAAGGCTCCAGGGAGACCTCAGAGCCTAAAGAGGTTCCAGCTGGAGAGGGACTGGGGACAAGGGCTAGAGGGAAAGGAGGAAAAACTTCCCACTGCCAGAGGGCAGGGATGGATGGGATATTGGGAAGGAATTCTCAGCTGTGAGGGTGCTGAGGCCCTGGCACAGGGTGCCCAGAGAAGCTGTGGCTGCCCCTGGATTCTGGAAGTGTCCAAGGCCGGGCTGGATGGGATTTGGAGCAGCCTGGGATAATGGAAGGTGTCATGGCAAGGAGTGGGACAGCACGAGCTTTAAGGTCCCTTTCAACCCAGACCATTCTGGGGTTCTGTGATCTTAGAGGGCTTTTCCAGCCTAACCGGCTCTGTGCCTCTGCATCCCAGTGGGCTCCGTCTGGGACAGGTGCAGTTTTTCCCCAACATCTTCAGCAGGCCTCAAGGGAGGAAGACTCATTCTCTAATACCTGAACCACTTTAAACCACTGAGAAGAGCCAAGATGTGTCCATCCATGATTGCTCTCCATGGATTAGCAATCCACCATTGCTCACGTTACAGATGGAGCAGAGGAAATTATCTGGTTCAACTCCCTATGCTACTGTGTATCCGCTCATTTTCTATCCCAGCTCTGCCTGGATATAACATCCTGCTTTTCTCTTTCCTCTTGGTTAATAGTTTGACTTTTGGAGCACTTTCAGTCCGTGTTAGTTTGTGGAGAAAGACATCAGCAGTGATAGCTGAGGAAAATTCTATTAGGTCATTCCTCCTCAGAACACGGTACCTGTCTCCTGAGCTCTTTGCGGATGTTGGCCAAATAATCCTTTTAATAGCTTTTGTGAGTTAAAAGGGTAGGTAACTGTCATAAGGCTAAATGATTGCATAGATTAATTTACTTGTGGCCGAAAGAAATCAATTGTAATTTAAATTTTTGTCTCTGGACTGATTACAACACCAGACATAAACTTTCTCTGTAAGAATCTGCTGTGTGCACTGAAGTCTGGGAGTCTGGATTAGTGACAGATTATCCAGAATGATGTGATTGGATCTCTTTGCCTCTCCCAGACATCTCTAATGTTCTTGGATCTTTTCCTTGTGTCTTACAGAATGGTGAATAACACTGAAGACCCTCAAGAGGCTTTGTAACGTCCCATCCTCATGTAAAGTATGCTCAGAACTTTTCCAGTAGTGTAAGTACAAGCTGAAGAAAGTTGTAACAATGAAGAGTAATTTTGTGGTGTTCTGTTAAACTGTCTAAAAAGAGCAGAGAAATGGTTGCAATGATTATGAACAGTTGGTTGAGTTGGAGAGTTTCACTGGTTTAGTGGAACATTTAAACCAGGGAAGACATTTAAACCAGGAATAGTGAAATAAGTGGACATTTAAATCAGGGAGTAGTAACGTTGAATTCCTCACTTGTTCTGCCTCATGTATTGTTTGTGCTTCTACATTTCTGTCACTGAAACAGAGAAGGAAAATGATGCAGTTCTTAGAAAATCAGAGAAAAATCAGTGCTAAAGGAGAGATCTCCATACAGCAACTCAACAAATGAGAGGCATGAAGAGTTTAACACCATTCTAGATCTGCTGAAAGGGATGAGCCACCTTCAATTTAGTGGCCTCTGGCAGAGACAAAAAGCCTGGGGCACCTCACCTAACCCTGGTGCTGGATGTGTTGGTTCAAGCAACTCGAGTATCTTGAACCCCATTGCCAATCGAGGTTGTCCAAATCTCATTGTGGAATTTGAAATCAGTTTGTTCCTTTTAACTACTTCTGTCATAGATCTTCAATTTAATTGGTTTCCATGCTGTTTCTTCAATAAATAAGCAAATAAATTCAAATTTTGAAGCTTGTCAGGCTGAAAGGAAGGGCTTGACCTGCACTGTGCTGTCACTCATCTCCCACTGCCCAGTTCTGTATTGCTGTTTGCAGTATCCCTTTTGCAGGCACAACCAAATGCTCCAAATGCTCGTCCCCTGCAGTCAGATTCCTCGTGACTTAAAATTATTCCTTCTGTCAGACTGAGCTGGAAAGAGAAACCTTTTCTGCAGGATAGGTAGCAAAGGAACTGGGCTGCTGTGAATGCATCACATTTTCCGAGATGGATTATTTCAAGGATGGAGATCTATCCCTGGACCATGATAGTGCAAGAGGCAGTGCAGTCACAGCCTTCTGTAGAAGGAGTCACAGCAAAAAATAATGAATGACAGGGATTTAGTGTTGGAAACCAAGCTCCAATGAATTTCAAAACCATTAATTAGTGATTTTCTATTGCTGGTGGCTAAGTGTTCCGTTCAAAACTGGTGGTTTCCTACTTTGCTGCCAGTCCCTTGAGCCACCTCCTCTTCTTCCTTTTAGCTGGAAGCATGCTGGACTTCACTATTAAAATCACCACTTAATATTGTAAAGATCTGGTTCACAGCAGGAGAGAAGTCTGGAGGTAAGGCCACATCACCCTGGGCATCTTTGTTATCCCGGTAATTTGAAGTTTGCTGGGTGACCTTAGAGCTTCTCTGTACTTTGAGTGAGCACAAGGACATGTCACAACTTTGTGTCGGGCTTTTGCCAGAAATTTCCAGACGTGGAATTGCATAGCTTGAATTTCCTGTGTTTTAGCTCGATTTCAGTCATGTTCTGCCCCTGTGCAGTTTTCTGCTGCCACCTCCCAGCAGAGCAGTAGCAGCTTCCTTGATTTTATTCCAGTGTATGTGCAGTTGACACGGCCATGGAAGATGCGATAGAAGTAGAGGTGAATAATTTTTGATGGAGGGAAAACTGGGGGGAACCTATTTGGAGGGGCTTAGAGAGTATTAAATGAGAGGAAATGGGCCAAGATGACCCATTTAGATAGAAAGTTTTCAGATTAAACCACAGATATCTTTTAAAATAGGTAAATGGAATTGTGAAGGGGAAAGAAGCAAATGGAGCCTTAAAAAAAATGTTTAGAAGTTTGAATTCAAAGTGATTAAGATTAAGATGGAAAAGTTGCAAAACTGCCACGGTAAGAGAGTAGTTGGGTTACTCCTAAGGGGAGTCCCCTGGGTGCAGTTGCCATTTCACTGTCTCATTTTTACCCTTAGTAGGATGAGAGCCAGTGTTGGAGAGGAGTTTGAGCCATGGTGTGAACACAGAACTCTTGGTCTTGGCCTCACAGGAATTAAGAATTTATCTAAAGTCCTGTAGCCAACACAGCTTTTTCTCTATTGGGCTCCCCATAAATATGGGAGTAATTACTTGAGCTTTGTAGTCCATATTGATTAATTAATATGTGTTAATAGTGAGCTATGACCATCAGTATGTTTTACATCCCTCAAAGTATGATTTCTGATAGAACCAGACAGTTTCACTGTCATCACTTAAAATTTACCTGAGTTATCAAGCCAGTGCTTATGAATTTAACTGCCAGCAATGGCAGGGGTGTCTGGGGAGTGAGTAAAAGAAAATCAGGGTGAATAATGCAGATGGAGAAGGACTGGACTGAAGCCTTGTCATCATTTAGGAAAAACAACTGGAAGGAAAGAACAAGAGTGTGAACTCTACCCAAGTCAGCACAGATTGAAGAGCAGGTACTGGATTTACAGTGGCTTAGAAAATCACCACAGGCTGAGCTGTACCTGTCCAGTGTCCTTGAAATGTGACACAAATCAGGTTAATTAAACTCAAGTAACAGAAATCTCAGCTGGTTTTCTCCTTTTGTCTTCGGTGACAAAGTATTGTGCCAATAGTGGGTGATTCTGGGAGCATTCATTTGGATTTTTTAACTTCTTTAACTGAAACAATGTCCTGTCTGAGTCCGTGGTTTTGCTTTAGGATAAACCAGATGAGTTAATTCATGATTTCACAGCAAAAGTGACCTAAAGAAAAATCTTGTTGAATGGTAAACTTTTTTTCCTCAAAAAGGTTTGGCACAGCTGCCCAGGGAAGTGGTGGATTCCCATCCCTGGAGGGTTTAAAAGTTGTGTGGATGTGACACTTGGGGACATGGGGGAGTGGTGGCCTTGGCACTGTGGAATTTAGACTGGGTCTTGTCTGTCATGCAGGAAATTTCCCTGGTTCGGGTCTAGGTTACACAAAGAAATGTTTAAGAACATTAATTAGGACCTTAATTTCTTTCTGAAATACTTTTAACTAAAATAAAACTCCAGTATGGAAGTGGCAGTGGCCAGAAGCCCATGGTTTTTGCTATTATGATTTATTTTCTTCAAGGAGACACTGTTATCTATTCCTGAGTTCTCCAAGTGTAATCTCTGTCTTCACTAAAGCTGTGCCAGCAATGCTGCACTTGCAACCTGTTTTTCCAGTGGAAAATAATTTGCTTTGTAGTTAAGCACAAAAACAGGAGTAGGTGAGGTTCAGCTGTTTGCTGGGTTTGGATTTTAGTTTCCTGAAGTAATTAATTTCTCTTGAAAGGAAGTGTTTTAGTTGTGAGTGCTGGTGATAGATACTGGAGAATGAAGGTGCCTGAAACACTTCAGAATGTTTCTTTTTCTTCATGTGTGGAAGAGGTGGTGGAAATCCTGGCAATGGCTTTGCTTGAAACTTGTCCTACACCTTGTCATGTGTGATGCTATGGATGGACCCTGTATGTGTGGTGAGAAAATGCTCAGAGTTTGGCCAGGCTCTTGTTCTGCCTTCTTGCAAAATTCCTGTGTGACTTCAAACAAGTCATTTGGACTTGTCCAAAGTCCAGCCCCTCTCTGGGAGCTCTTGGTCACAAAAATTAGTGTAGTGTTATTTCCCTGCCTCACAGAGGTCTTGTGATTGGAGTATTTAGATACCCCACGTGGCAGAATTAATGGAGAAGAATTCTGAGATTCTTCCTGGATTTTAATAAAGGATTGATCAAATTTTGAGATTAAATGGAGGACACAGAAGACAGCACTGTATGCTGTAATCTTGATGACTACAAATTATGAATTGTCATAGAATCCCAGAGTGGTTTGGGTTGGAAGGGACACCAAAGATCATCCTGTCCCATCCCCAGCCATGGGCAGGGACACCTTCCATTATCCCAGGTTGCTCCAAGCCCCATCCACCCTGGCCTTGGACACTTCCAGGGGTGGAGCAGTCTGGTGTCCTGGGCAGACCTGTGTCTCAGTTTTATGGATGACTTTTTTAATGACTGTTTCTTCACATGGATTACACTATTTCAATGTGTTCATGAGATTTACTATAAGTAAAGCACACAACTCCTGCTTTTACAGAGCTTATATATCCAAAGTTTACTATTCAGCTCCCGAATCCAAGAGCTCCTCCTTGCTCTTGGCACAGGTTTGGGCTTTGGGCCCTGGTTCAGCACTCAGCTGCCACTACAGTTTTTCTCTCTGTTTGTTAGTCCTGCTGATCCCTCATTCTGCCCTTGAATCCAGGCTCAGAGTTTGAATTCCTGCCTTGTTGCTGTAGAATTGCAACAATAGCAGGAAACCCAGATTTTGGAAGTAGGGAAGGTTAGGGTTAGACAGATAAGGTGTCAGTGTGAATCAGTGTGTGCCTTGAGTAGAATTCAGAAGTATCTGGCTGCCAGCCCTGTGCTTAGTCAGAGGTCAGTCCCTTTTGTAAGACTTGGATTATGACAATAATTGCCATTTATATTATATTTTTGCCTTGTAAGATCAATCTCAAGTTCTCTCTCTCTTTCCCAGAGATGTAAAGCAGTGTAAGTTACTCACCCAAGTGGCAAAACAACTGGGTTTGCTCACTGCCAGCATCCATTAAAATGATTTTATCAGCAGAGAATTTCAGAGAATAAGTGGAAGAGCAGCTTGTGTAGAGCAGTGTGTCGGGGTTTGGGGCTCCTTAACCAGCTGAGAAACTTGAAGCCTCCTGAAGAAACGATGTGTTGATATTCTGCTCTCAGCTTGCCTCCTCTAATTTGTGTAGCGGTGAGTATTTGATTACGCCGGATTTATTTTCAGAAGTTTCAGGCTGCTCTTATTAATTGTCCCCATTTTGATCGAAGGCGTGTGGCAGAGCTCTGCATTCCGGAGCCGCTGTTTTGCATTCCTAAACAGAGCTGGTGATGCTGAGGCTCCGCGGCTCAGCTCGGAGCCTGATTTCCCTCCTTGCTGCAGCGCGAGGCTCTCGTTTCCCCGGGATGAGAGCAGTCATTACAAGAATTACATTTTGTTTGTGAATCAGGGTGAATGGGAGTAAGAGGCCTTTTTTTGAAAATCAGAACCCAGAGATGCAA